ATGATGCTTCATTCTTTGCCAGAGACCAAATACCTCCAGAAGAATTTTGGTCCAGATTTCACCTCCCAATTTTGCATCCTTGTCGGGTGTTGCAGTGGTTGGTCCTAGTATCTACGCCAATGGTGGCAAATCAGAGAACAATCCTTCGTCTAGAGTTATGGTTATGGACTGTCCTCTCACACATGGCGTGAGGCTCCAAGCATGCATGTGGCTCGTGTGTTCCCATCTGCTTGTGTCCTTGATGGGAAAATATATGTAAACGGAGGTTGTGACAATCTTGATTCATCGAACTGGATGGAGGTTTTCGATATGAAGACCCAAACTTGGGAGTTTTTACAGATGCCTAGCAAAAAGATATGCATAGGCTCTAAGTATAGAAGCTTAAGGTATGAAGGAACAAATGAACAATCTATGTAAGGTCCGAGGCAAATGATGTGAGTTACAAGCTGCATAGAGGTAAATGGAGAGCGGCAGACATAACCTTTAATCCGGTATGGGGTCGGTCAAGATCATCTTGTTTTGTGATAGATAACGTGTTGTACTCTTATTCACACGTGACGATGGAGATTTATTGGTATGACCCCCAAAATAGAATATGGAAACTTCTCAAGGGTCTGGAAGTATTGCCTGGATTGCTTTTATCAAAAATAAAAGTATTGCTTGGCTTGCCTCTTTGTGAGGACGATGTTATATTCGCGGATCATGGTGGGAAATTGGCGATTTTGTGGGAGGATTATCCGTTTGTTGATGAAAGGAAAATGATTTTGTTGGAGGATTATCCGTTTGTTGATGAAAGGAAAATGATTTGGTGTGCGGAAATTGTGATTGAAAAACGCCCAAATGGGGAAATTTGGGGGATGCTTGAGTGGTTTGACAATGTATTTACGTCCATGGGCCAAACGGTAAATTGGGTTTAGTGCATGATGTTACTAGAACACTTTTGTGAAAGTGAATTGAATCATTCACTAGTGCAATAAATATCGTTTTGTTACTATTTTTTCTTTTTAATAGTCTTGTACTCTTGTCGAACCTGATACATTTGTTTGTACATTTACTTGCGATGATAAGTAGTATAACAATATGATCATTGATTTTATGTGTTTCTCCATATTTTGTGGTTTGGTTTATGCTTTGTGATCACGCACATGATTAAAATCCAAAACACGTTTTTCGCTTCACAAAATCAATACTCGTTTTTCGTATATAGTTAAAATAACTAATTTTTTTCTTTAACAAACTTCACGTTTGATAATATCCCAAGAGTTACTTTTTTAATAATTCCAACGTAGTCAAAGACTTATCGTACGTTGGAGGATAACCTCTCGTTTTTGTTTAAAGTTAATTTTGAGCAAAGCTATCCATGAAAGATTATCTTGCTAGTGTTAAAATTACTGTTGATATGTAAGAACGTTAAAAAACAAAAAAACGTTAGAATTTTTGAATTTTAGTAAAATTGCCTCCATTAATTTATTTCTTCAATTGTGACATTGGCGGGAAATTTTCCGATTTTTCCAATTACATTCTTGTAGTCAATATGTCAAAATATGAACGTTTAATACACGAATAGAATTGAACGTAATTTATGAATGAGGATTTATTTGATCGACTTTGTAATATTAAATCGATCGATCTCATTCGTTTATTATAGATAGTTACATATTTTAAATAAAACAACCGAGTAATGCTCATCAATCCTATAGCCACCAATACATATTCAGTTAGCTTTTGTTGATGATAATTAATCTTCACAAATGCCAAAGAGTTTAGGTAACAATACTTGAAACGTAAGAGTTTAAGTCTGGATGAGATTACTCAAGGGCTGGAAGTCGAAATTTCGGGGAAAGAGGGTGGAGTGGAGATGGATGGAATGGGCTGGGGATTTCCGGAGGGCGATCCAGGCGTCGGAAATTGAGGGAAAGGAGAAGGAAATTTTGGGAAACCTGGAAATTGAGAAAACCCGGGTGTTGGATTGCTCGGAAAACCGGGTTTGGGAAATTGAGGGAAAGGCATTGGATTGTTTGGCAAACCTTGCCCTGGAAATTGAGGAAAACCGGGTGTCGGGTTGCTTGGAAAACTGGGTCTCGGAAATTGAGGGAATGGCATGGGATTGGTGGGAAAACCGGGTCTTGGAAACCGCGGAAAACCCGGTGTCGGATTGCTCGGAAAACCAGGTCTTGGGAAATGGGGTCTAAAAAATGTTGGTTGTTTCTTGGTAAGTTGTTTTGTGGCTTGGTTTGAAGTGACCATAGAGGAAAACATGAGAGCCATGAGGAGAGAAGCGACTAAGAAGACTTTAGATGATGCCATAGTGTTAAAAAGAGCTCTTCAATGATTTGATGTGTTTTTTTTTATCTGATTGTTTCTTGTCTATTGGACTTGGGTTTTATATAGGAGCAATCTCAATAGAGATAACGAGTACAATTTGAATTTGATTTGACTCTTTTTTATCTTTTTATAGATTTAGCTAATGGTTTCATTATTAGGAATAGGAAACGGTTTATATTGTTACTATTCGTTTGAACACATGTTTGTTGTATCAACAAAACATATCCTATGAGATTATATAGAAATGACCATGGTCATCAAACTGAACCTATTTTCCATCAACATCAACGACATACATCTAGCAAACCATATTCTGGTTACACTCCACGATCTCCTGCTTCTTTCTAAGGCTAAGGCTACCCAAAACGCTTTTTGCCCGTTCTCCAAAATAAGTCTCATTGTATCCGATCATAGCGTTCTTGTAGACCAACATACATCGCCTATCAGTGTCAGGAAACTGACATATTTCCCCGACCGGATCATGCCAAGAGCCTTCATGTCTCATCCCCGACCAATTAGCTCCCCATTGGTAAACAAGTTGACCAACTCCTGCAAGCTTAAGCCATCCTTTGGGGAAAAACTCCATCACACTACTATTTTTATCCATTAGAAACAAGTTTGTGAGTTGTGCACCGTGTGGTGATACTAACACATCGGTCTTCTTCATTAGCTCCACTTGCTCACAAAATGTTAGATCATTAGAATAAGAAACATTTAATTCACACCCTTGTACTCCCTCACACTCTCTCTTAAAGACATTTATCACCGTTGACTCGTTTTTGAAAGATCTGGCTCCGGTTCTCAATAGCAATGTCATACCGATTTGCGGTTTTGATGTCTCAAATGAGCTGATGTTACAGTAATTTCTCGCTTTGCATCTAAGTAGGTCAAACACTTCCATTTTTCTCTCCCTTGACATCCCACGTTCACTGTGTCTCATAACCACCGCCTTCTCAAAGCAAACCGGCTTCTCCTCATCAACAAACCGTGAAAACTCCGGTTCTTGACCGTAAGTCGCTGTGATTATCTCGCTCAACCAATGCCCCATCCCGAACCTTAGTTCCCCCCAGTGGTATAAAACCCATTTTTGAGGCTTTTCGCATTGGTTTCTTAGGCTCCAAGAAACAAACGGGACAACTGCCGTTAGTCCATGCCACAAGTTACCGTAATCGTACTGATTATAAGAAACAAACGTCAAGCTCTCCTGGAGAACGGCATTGACCGGAAGAGCTTCAGGCCAAGCCAGCGCGTAGTAGTTCCATGAACCATCATGCTCATTAACCCCTTTCAAGCACAAAAGCCTTCCTTTCGAAGAATCTGAAGGAAATTCTTGAAACTGAGCCTCTCCTTTAGTTTGGTTATCGTAAAGAGAGGTCATGAACCAGGTATGCCCTTCGAGTGGTTTGTTTGAATAACGATAGTCCTTAAGAGGAAGAAATGTTACCGATTCATGTAGCTTGTATACCAAGGAAGCCGTCTCGTTGTGGGATATTGATGGTTTAGGTTGTTGTTGGTGTTTCAGATATATTAATAGTGAAAAGGAATGTTGAGTGGTTAAGGGAGGATAAGCAAGTGACTAACCTTCCCCAAACACTAGCTTTAGTCGTTTTGCATGAATTTAGGAGTGAGTCATTCGATAGCGTGAAGCAGAATTGGTTTATTTTGATGGAATATGTGAATTAAGCTTTATGAGGATTGAGGAAACTTATGGTCAACGCAAATACGCAACTTTACCGACATTAGTGGGAGATTTGGAATCAAGCAACACATGGTTACCGTTTTTCTCTCCTAGTTTTACAGTTATTTATTACCCGTTTCACATTTTACGAGAAGTGTTTTCTTTTGTTTTGGGTTTTATAATCCCAACTATATGTAAC